ACTTAATAAAAACTTAGCAAAAATAATGTTTCATTATACCGCCATTACTTTCACCGGGGACTGTATTATAAAATCTAAGACAGAGTCTGTATCTGTATTAAATAGCTTATTCAGTCCTTTTCTTTACAGACATGCCAAGTGACATTCCTTCATTTGAAAATATCAAGACATGGAAACATCTCCAGGCTAAATATTTTGAGATTTATCCCTATGAGATCTAAAGACTAGTGCCGTAAATTATGATGATGGTAGTAATTGTATTTATGGCATATAAAAAGTGGTTGCAATTACCTTTACGACCACTTTTGCAACCATACTTTTTCCTTTTTTGGATTACAGCACTAGTCTTTAATTGAAATGGTTAAAATAAGACTGGAAAAGACAAATAAAAATATTGTATCACAATTTACCTCACTACATTTATATAATCAATATCATTATAACATTTGTCTACAATTGGTCCCCATATGTTAACATTATACCAATTTTCCAAATTTTCCATATAGAAAGGATTTGGATTCCTTTCATATTGTTGGATTCTGGATGTTCACAAGGATATTTAATTTAGTAAATGAATTCTATTTGAAATATTCTATAACTTTTGAAGTGATTACTTACAAACTATGTATGGAATATTTGATAGTATCATATTCGAAATCCTTCTTGATATTATATAAAGCTCCAAGACAATCTGTTGCCTTTTTCATTTCTTCTCTGACTTCTGCTATTGTAGTCTTAAGAAAGAATTAATTATATAGTTAGTTAATAACAGAAAGCAAATCATCATTTTTATATCAGTGATATACTTTATCAAATCTTCCAATATAATTTTTTAGCTCTTCAGGTAGTTGTGGATTGTAATGGTAATTGCATAATTAATTCATCCTTTGTAAAAAATTTCATCTAATTTAGAATCTTCTATGTCCAAAATAAATGAGTGAATCAGACTGTTTTAAAAGAACAAATATTTAGGGGTTATTTAGTATAATCCAATAATAATGGCAAAGAAACATACTGTTCTTTTTTAAATTCCAGTCTGGATTTAAAACAAACTTTTTCTACTATATAGGGTTTTTATAGGACCGGGAAAACTCTATTGAATGTGACTGCCAACACTATGATTCGATAGTACTTTAAAAAAAAAAAATGCAACCGCCTCACTATAGATTCGATTAATGGAAAATGGAAAAGGTCACCGCCTTTATATAATTCGAAGGAAAAAATGTCCTCGGTTACACTGAATTCGCAAACATAGAGAAATGAAAAATGTCATCGGTTACACTATAATTCGCATTATTAATAAAAAAAATTTATCTTGGTCATACCAAAA